TGTATTAACCGAAGTAATTGAAAATTTTTCGAGACGGATTTTTCGCGCTGACCCGTTATCTATAGTATTGTTGATCGATGTTTATAAACACTTACTTTTAATGTCATTTTTCGCAAACTCCTGATAGATATTGCAGCAATTAATGAATGGCAGAAGTTGTTTAAAATGATTATTTTACTTAGTACTAATTACTGCCACCAGCTCCCTAGTTATATTTGTTTCTTACTCTATCAATTTCGACACCCCACATATTCTGACTTAGCCACTTACAATCAACTTTCATCCGTCCGGTTTAGTACCCTTTTTTTTTGTCTGGAAAATGCATTCCGCATCTTTCAACCACTGGGGGAGCGAGAAGAAGGTATGTGGGACTCCTCCCTGTCCACTTCAGCCAGCCCTGAGGCTAGATGAAGTGTACAGGGCCCCACCTACGCCCTGAACACCTGACCCGCATTGCCAGGACCGTAGTCCCAGCATTGCGGGTCAGGAGTGCGGGTGGGGTTGCGGTACCCTGTGAAGACTGCCCGCATCGGTTTAGTACCCTACACTCTGGTAAAATAAGAAGCCAATATAATAAATAAAAAAAACCGGTCAAGTGCGAAAGTAGAAATTTACGGTTTTCGCAATTTTTCCTTTATCTGTACTATAAGACGTTACTTCGTACCAAATTTCAAGAATCTAAGTACACGGGAAGTACCCTGTAGGTTTTGATTACCATACGAGTTTCGAAAATTTGGGGAAATTTGCGGCATAAACGGCTATATCTTTTGATTGCTTTGGCCAAATAGTTTGATTTTCCAAGGGACAGTCGACATGAGTATTAGATATGAATTTCAGTTTGATACCTCCACACCATCCTGAGAAAAGCGGTCTTCACAGACGGACGGACGGACGGACAACAAAGTGATCCTATAAGGGTTTCGTTTTTTCCTTTTGGGTACGGAACCCTAAAAATACTTAATCTAAGATAGTTACATGACATCATCATCATCAGCTTATTAATGTCCCCAAATAACGTGCCATCCGAAGCTTGACATAATAAGTTTTTGGTCACTCAGCCTATGGCCGAATGAACTTCCTCAATCACAGACCGAACGCGCTAACCACCTGCGCCATCGAGCTCCTGAGTTCCATGAAATATTTCGCCATCGTCATCATCAGCCTAATTATGTCCCCACTGCTGGGGCATATGCCTTCCCTATGGATGGAATAGGAAGATTGGGCAATGACCATGAGTCCACGACCCACCACACAGACCCAGTGCGGATTGGTGGGTACTAACAACTGCAGATGCAGACGGCACCAACGGCTTAACGTGCCTTTTGAAGCACGAAGTTAGATACTCAGTGCTTCGGAATGCAATATAGTAAATTTTTGGTCACCTAATGACCGACCACTCCGAAAGTTGCGAACGCGCTTACCACTTGCACCATCGAGCTCCTCTATTTAATATTTACTCATATATCTCTACTCATATTATAAAAAATAATTAAAACTGAACGCACAATATAACCCTGCTGCTTTGTCCCACCTATATCTGTTTGCAAATGTTTACAAGGTTAGCAATGTCAAGTCACGCTATGCGTGACGCACCCAATGTCCGCAACGCAACGAAAGCTTATACATTCTATGTTAATATCCGTTCGCTCACTTCATCATAGTAATGTTATGTCATCTATCATGTATGCCGCATAGCATATTGTCGTTCCATATGCCACTTACTTCGCTATATGCTATTTTTTTTTGGCTTTCAACGTCATGGTAAGTCAGCGTCAGTTTTCCGTCAGTCAGTTACTCGGCCAGCTACTTAAAAGTCCATAACAATTTGTAATTGGTTATTTTTACCATAACACCCTTGGTTTTTGAACTAGTAAAATAAAAAAAAGCCGGCCAAGTGCGAGTCAGATTCGCGCACGAAACTCGCGATACCAAAAATATCAAAAAATCACGTCTATTGTGTCGTAGGAGTCTCCGATAAATATTTATTTTAATTTTATTATTTATTTTAAAAAGTGAATATTGTTATATGGCAAGTGACTCACTTAATTTAAAAATAAAATATTTATTAGAAACTACAAGAATTATGTCTTAAATCGATGTGGTTCAGATTAACTAACTATTACTAAAAGAATTTAATATATATAATGAATGAGTTTTGAGAAAGCTAAATAAAACTATTACTTAATGACTATACAAACGTTCAAAGGACTCTGGAAAGTTTAGATGACTCGATACAATGCAAATGAGGTAATTAGTTAAAAGGATGTGAATGATTTTAGTAAATAATAGATATCTTAACTTAAGAACATGAGAACGATAGATAACATGGTTTTAAGATAATAATTAAGGAACATAACAAATGAGTTTAGTAAATAAGAGATGTGGTATTAACAATAGGGTATAACATAACAGTATACAAGAAATATTCTGTGAATATTTCAAGTGTCTACCTGTTACCGTTATGATATAATATATAGAGCAATAAAGGCAAAAAAACAGTGGTAACACTGTACAATGCGGATATCCGCTAGCCTAGCCTAGGGTGGAAAAGTGCGCGCGTAACTCCGCCTCCACCCTGCCGTAAAAATGTAAACCAACTTTACATTTTTACGGCAGGGTGGAGGCGGCGTTATTATCTCTACTTAATCTGAAGTACATGGACAACATTTGGTCGGTGACGTGCTAACAACATTGATAGATCAGAGTTGCCTTTCACCGCTTGGGCTCGAATTGTATTTTTGTTTTTAGGTTTCCGTATCTCTAAAGGAAAATATTGAACCCTAATCGTTTAAATAGATTCCAATTTATAGCATCTGACTGTTCATTAGTATTAATAATCGTTTAGGTTTTTAACCTGTTGGTTTTTATTCTTTTTCTGTTTGATAAAAATTGAGTTACGTTTAGAACGTTATTAATAACGTTATAAAATATTAGAAAAAACTATCTTAGGCTTATTCTCTAGTCCAGATTAGTTTTACACTAGCGCTAGATCCAACCTCTCGTGAGCCAAAGGTCCTGCGCTTGGAGATCTGGGGTTCCTTCCTGATTTGTAATTTTAATAACTGTTACACTAATAAAAGTTTAGTTAAAAAATATATAATAAAAACAAAGCTTAACCTTTGGAGTTTTTGGCGGGATTTCATGGAGTGCGGTTAGCGTCGTATTTTAATTATTCTTTAATTCGTTCATAGTGAATATTGTGAAATAAAATTGGTGTAATTTTGTGTTTCAACCGTCTGCACGACTGAAGAATTATTGGAATCTTTAAAATATAAATTAACTTAAGTAACTATATTAAGTTAAGTAAAAAAAAATCCTTGGATATGCATTTTATTTTCCACGACGTAACCCTTTTGTTGTGTGGTACAAATCGTCGCTCTGAAAATGAGACGAACAAACCACGCTGCGGGAAGCTGGTTGCCACAATGGTTCATTTCTACTCTTACGAATGACTGCAATCCACTTCTCTTTTAGATTTTGATCTCGATTAGGAAATCGTAAAAAAACGTATAATATATAAAGTGTATTACATCCCAAAAAATTTATTCGAATACATAAAGAAAAAAGATAATAAAGATGTTTCGTGCAATTGTGTATCCATGCATTACAATATTCGAATAATATAAAAGTATGCTACACAATGTATTTAATAAAAAAAATAACGTTACTTATATTTCACGCTACCCAACAAAAGGGTCAAACTGTAACTTATAATCATGGCAGCATTTCATTCAGGTTTTGTTTACAAAGCGACAACCTCAAATTTGATTTTGATTAATTGAAAATATTAGTTTATAACTTTACTTACGTATGAAATGTGATTCCATCCTGTTTTTTATTCTTGGAAGATTGGTTTCTACACGTTTTCACTACACAATTCGACATTTTCTCTAATAAATATTGTTTTTTATTATTACGTCACACTCCGCCCGCCGGGATAGCTCGACTGGGAAGCCAAGGCGTAGTTTCGTTGCGTGTGTGCGTGTAACTGTATGTACACGGCGAGGCGTAGTTTTATCGGATTGTAGCAATAAAAGATTTAAAATTGTTTCGACCTTTCTAACATTAGCCAAAATAAATAAAACTGATTCCAAATCCATTACAAACGTTGCTCATATTGATTTTTAATAAATAGTTCATAAAAATAATTTAGCTCTTTTTTCCTAAAAAAATCTAGCTCTTTTTTAGCTTTTTTTTAGATATGATCTAGCTCTCTTTAAAAATCCGAGTTGGCAACACTGTCGACGCGTAGGGTATTGTTTTTTATATTTTTTTGTAAAATCTATAGCATTAATGACGTTACTTTTATAATAAAACGTAATCTTTCTATTGTGTTGTTTAATTTACTAAATTTGACATACATAACAAAGTATGATTTGTAATCTTATCATTGGATCTGTAATTTGTCGGATTACAAGGTACTCTTGTAAAAAAAATTGGACTATAGGGAGTACTCTATAATCCGACAAATTCGATAGTTCGACACTGCCCTGCAAAATGTTTGTCGGACTACCGGATATCCACTGTAATATTTTAGGGGGCTTCCATACAACAGACGTGGTTCTTTTGCTCGATACGGAACTCTTCGTGCGCGAGTCCGACTTGGGTGATTTTTTCCATGTCCCGGCTATTGGGGTACATACTTTCACTTAAACTCTTGAGGGCCTGCAGCACCATTTGGGACTAGGCCCTTCACAGAATAGGCCCAAGTCCGAAATGGTGGGTGCCGATACAGCGGTGAGCGATGGCGAACCTTCTGAAGCACGAAAGACCTAGGCAATAAATTATTATTGGATACCCATTTGATGACTAGTAATCACAAAATTTGCCTAACTTCGCTACCATCAGACCGATTCAAAGCACTTACTCTATATGAACTCCTCCCTACTATTTGATATAAAATAGAGCAATTTCACGAATAGTATTATCTAAAATTCCTTGCGAATACACAGTCATACATATTGCTGTTGATTCTAGTTAAATAAATATAAATTGATGAATAAACATAGCCCGTTTATTGATCGATTCATGGTAGAATAACGCGAACGTTCGTATTGCGTCAGGGGGTTAAAAAAAGACAATTGAGCAATCTAAAGTTCGAAAGTAAGTTAAGGATGACTAGTTCTTGTACTTAATTCGAAACACTTAACATTCCGTTGATTCGGTGGCATCAAATTAAACTTTTATAAGTACAGCTCACTTGAAGTCGTTCGCGAGTAAAAAATTTTTTGAGACAAAAGCAGCGATGAAATGTGTGTTTAACGAAGTTATCATAGTGTCAGGAGTTGTTCGTGGAACAGCGCCTCACCTTGAGGTTTGCTTGCTGTTACGTACGCTAAAATACACTATCAAAACAGTGCGTCGAGACCGCTGTGCCGAGTCACACGGGCGCGAGCGGCCGAGGTTGTCCGTGACTTTAATACAAATATTGAAAACGTGTTTGCACTGCAGCAAATCAAATATAATCAAAAAGCTTTCTGAAACTTATGTGCCTTACCATTTCTATAGTATCATAATATTATTATGCGAAATACTCATTGCATATAAAGATTATTTTTGTAATGTGAATGTGGCTGGTGTACGCTTAATGTCTCTTTGGATTGTCTGAGATTCGTCTGGGAGAATACCGAATTATACGATGTAAGTTTTGATATTTTTTGCGCGTTTCGAAGTGATCGTAACACAAAACATGCAGAACAGCATTTGTTCAACATATCTTTAAAGTAGGTCTTGAAAAATGTGCAATCTTTAACTAAATATTATCTTTTACTATAACGACATAATATATTGTAACTTATTATTACTGACTATTTTGTGACTGCAAAGTTGACAATGCTATAATAGCATTTCTGAAAACTAGCTATGTACTCACAAAATTAAATGTTTTTTGTTGCAAGATTTGATGATTTCCTTCGTGTTTATTATTTGGTTCTTTGCATACGCACATATAATATAATCTTATGTTGTTTTTAATATTAACACATGTTTCGTAAAATAATTGAAATAAGGCTTCATGCACGTTTTATATAATGATAATTAGATTTTATTTATTTTGTAATACAATGAACTGCCCGTATGTTTGTATTTTAGCGAATATCCCAAAACGAACATACTAGATACTGAACGGATTTTCATGTGGCTTTTGCCATTACTTAGTTTTTTTCGTAGAAGATTTATAATAATACTAGCTGACCCAGCGAACTTCGTACCGCCCTAAAACAATAGGGGTTGTCCAGCGGACAAAATTGTGAATTTAAACCATTCTCAGATCTCTGTGTGTTCAACACACAAAAAATTTCATCAAAATCGGTCCAGTCGTTTAAGAGAAGTTCAGTGACATACACACTCACACAAGAATTATATATATAAAGATATAGAGTTAGAATAAAAACTCACCGAAACTAATTAAGAGCGGACGTAATATATTTTTTAATACAGTTGCTCAAAAAGTGGCGTATTGCAGGGACGTGTAGCGTTCGGGATCTGGGCTATTTCACACTCGTGCTTTTTTTTTTGCCTTTCCCGAACTCGTGCGTTTTCTTTCCCAACTGTCAAAATTATTTCTATTAAAAAAACCAACCATGAAGTTTTAACTAAAAAAAAATCATAGAAGTTTTTGCGATTCATGCAAATAGGTTTATTTGTTTTTAAAAAGAAGCTACCTATACTAATTTGTCCAATATCAGAATTAATTAATTGATTGAATGAGTTAGGTAAGGTTTCAGTTCATTTCATATCATTCAATTTCAATTTCATTTCTTATAATAAAAAATACTAAGTACTAAAGACTTGGCTGTATGGGCAGTTCCCTTTGCCTACCAGAATGGGTGAAAAAAAACTGCTTACATTCTACGGTTGGCGCCATTTTCCGAAATTTTCTTTGCGAGTTTAGTTGTTTTTTACACAAAATGAGTAATTTCGACCTAAATTCTTTTGAATTAACTCCACCGGAACTCAGTATAATTGCACAAAATGCTTCGGAGAACATTTTACCGGAAAAGTCAAAAATTCGCTACATATCTAAATACGATGAATTTATTGCGTGGAAAGAAGAGAAAAAAGCAAATAGTTTTTCAGAAAATGTTATGTTGGCATACTTTTCCGAACTCTCAGCAAAATTAAAACCTTCTAAGTTATGGTCAAGGTTTTCGATGATAAAAAGTATGCTGAAAATAAGGAACAACGTGGATATAAGTCAATATCCAAAATTAAATTCTTTCTTAAAACGACAATCAGACGGGTTTACCAGTAAAAAGTCGAAAATATTAACATCGAATGACGTGGAAAGGTTTTTGAAAGAAGCTCCCGATGATTGTTATTTAGCCACAAAGGTAATTTATTAATAAGTATACATATCTACATTTTTCTTTAGTGTTCAGTTTACAAAATCGCAAAATACAGTCAATACATTATTTATATGAATCAAATCGTTTTTTTAGGTTGCTCTGATTTTTGGCGTTGTTGGAGCTTGCCGCAGAGAAGAGTTAGCCAATATTACTTTAAAAGATATTGAAGCCCATGGAGAAATGCTACTTATCAAGATTCCAAACACAAAAAATAAGATACCGCGAAGCTTTGTTGTTGAAGGAGATTTTCTCACAATAGTGAAAAAATATATGAACCAGCGGTCCCAAAAAGGAAAATCCGACCGTTTTTTTCAAAATTTCCAAAAAGGGAAGTGTACAGCTCAAGTAATCGGCATAAACAAATTTGGTAATATGCCAAAAGAAATAGCTACGTTTCTTGGTCTGCCGGATGCTGAGTGTTATACTGGGCACAGCTTCAGAAGGACCTCTGCTACATTATTGGCAGATTCAGGAGCCAATTTGACGTCCTTAAAGCGACTAGGTGGTTGGAAATCGGACAAAATTGCAGAAAGCTATATTGGTGATTCATTAAACAACAAACTAGAAACTGGGAAAAAGATCACACAATCCATTAATTTAAGGTCCAGTCCGTCTCCTTCACATGCTGAAGAGAACGTTCGTCCTAGTGTTGGGTAGGACACGACTTGAAAAAGAGTTTGTAAGAGTAGCCTCTTTTTTGTACTGAACCAGTACAATGTCCCACTTCAAATGAGGCGAGGCGTACTGAAGCTCGGCAATACATTTGAAGTGACGAGTACAAATATGACATTGAGGCGTACAGAAGCTCGACATTACGTTTGTGTGCACGAGTAGCACCTCCTCTACGCACTATCAATCTTGCTGGATCCAGCATGCAGGACAGCGCTATACACGTAAAACAGATAGAGATACAGATGGATAGTGCGTAAAGGACGTAAATGAAATGTCACGCCTCGCTCTCTCTCTCAGACTTACGAAGAGTGAGTGAGTAATGAGACGCGACTATCGCGACATTTGATCTGAAGTAGTACATTTTAAAATTTTGAGCCGCTCTTACAATTTGGCGTCATGTCCGGGACAAATGTACCGCCTCTTGTAAGTCCTACTCAACACTAGTTCGTCCATCTACGAGTACCTTCGTTGATAATGATAATTCATCAGATCCAATTCCATCAACTAGCAAACGCCATTGTATGACAAATATACATGAACAATCATACGAAATTAATAATAGTTTGTCTCAAACAGTAAATATGCAACGTAAAACTTCCCCAGTTAGTATAAAAAACTGTACCAATTTCAATGTATATGTGAATTATAACTTTTATAAGAAATAAATGATTAGTTAATTGAATTTATTGTGTTTTTATAATTTGATTAAATTGCTTCATTTTTTCGCAACTGTATTAAAAATAGTCGTTCAGTACACGTACGGAACCGTCATTGCAACTCGTTCCGACTGTCAACCCTCGCCTTCGGCTCGGGTAGACATTTGTCGGAACTCTTTGCAATGACAACCATTCCGTACTAGTAATGAAATATACTATTTCAACAGTGGGAACTTAAATACAAACGTCACTTCACTCCTTAAGGACCTTTTTAAAGTGATCTTCACATAAATTTAGTTTTGGATGATTTTTTTATTAAATTATTTAAAAATACTCAAGATGATATGTGTGTAAGTGTGACCCCTCTTGTTTATATATTATCATTGGTGTGACCCTATCACACAACAGAAAAATAGCCGGTCAAATGCGAGTAGGACTCGCGAAGGAAAGGTTTGGTAATATTTACTATACAACATTAGACATTAATTAAAATATCGAGCAAAAAGATCATCCACGTTATACCTATTTGCTTACAAATCATTATTTGATCAGTATTTTATTTTAAAATACATTTATTTTTACTTTTCCATTTCTAATCATTAAACTTCAGTAATACCGAATGCAAAACGAATTTCGGCGCATCTCCAAAAAAATCATATTTGTTGAATGGGATTCCCCCTTAAATATTTAATTTATATTTTATATATTATAGTATTTGTCGTTATAGCGGCAACAGAAATACATTCGCGTTTCGGGTACGGAACCCTAGTTATGCCGCCAAAGAGGGCGGTTGACACATAGGATAACTGAAAAAAGCGCGGTATTTCCCCGAGCATAGTTAGTTCGTGCCTCGTTTGCAACTAAATAGACGAGACTGACGAGATAACAAGCGCTTTTACATTATGCCGGCACTTCACTTGGCTGTTTGTGTTTGATAAAGTTAAACTCTCCTACCTAACTGAACTCACGGTCGCGGTCAACAACTTATGTCTAAAATATTCACTGGAACGGGTTTAACATTAACATTCGACAATATTATTATCTAATATCAATCATTGGGTAGACCATGTGTGGGGCTTGTCACTGCCCCACATGGGCATTCCGATTCAAGCGGAAGGAAAATTTGTAATGCTTTACTTGCCTTGTAAAATATAAATATTACTTTCTGTACTTGTGATTGTCTTGGTCTTGTCGTTGTGCGACATCTGTTGCCCTGAGCTCTTTTCGTCTTACTAAAAAAAAAATATCCCTGAAATGGAAATAAAGTACATGTAATGGTTGAAAACCATTTTTAAATTAAATTATATATTTTGATTAAAATAAAAACAAGATGACACAACGAATGCCAATACAATATCCACCTGTGACTACAAGAGCAATTTTAATTTAATACATTCTTACAATATCTCAAAGTGTTAAATGAATTAATTTAAAGAATAAAAGAAGAAACATGAACATAAAAAGTCAGCTTTTGTTTGTATTGATTTATGTCTTTTTCGAAGTCTGCAAACAAATTCCCTTGAAAGTTGACAATCGGGCCAAGTAATGAGTGGGTACCCCACTCAGTTTTTTATCTAAAAAACACTCATTCGTCTGGCACTTGGGCCTTGGAAATTCCAAGTGCTTTTACCTTGTTTCCTTTAGTATATGTTATTGAGATTTATAAAAATAAATTCTTCATCAATAACAAAACAATCACTATTGTGTATATAACGAGGTGCTTGATGGCGCAGTGATAAATAACTTCAGAAAGTTCGGTTATTGGTTGGTGTGGGTGTCCATTATATCGACCTCTTTCGTGGTTTGGAGTACTTTGGAGCGCACGTGAGTCTTAAGTCATGGCTTGATTGCATATGCAGTCCCACTTAGTAAACTATAGGCCTTTTTACACGACTGCCCAAAAAAGAGTGTAATGGTTTCTTCCTATGTTATTCTGTTTATATGAGAATCCCACAGACACCTAACA